TGCGATATAGTGATATGTATTTAAGATGCTGGCAGGATACTGATCCCCAATTCTTGTCTGTATAAAATCCAATACTCTTTGTACTGGAGGCGGGACTCAAACCGGCAATCTCCCTTAAGATTATCAAACTTGTTCAATACACCAAGTGACCACTCCTTTCGAAACTTATTGCGGTGGAGTCAGTGTGGCATCCTATGTATAAAAGTAAAAAGTGTTGTGTATCTAGCAGTGACTTTTTGTCCCCTACACCTCGTGCTGAGTGCACTGTGGCATTTATTCCCTCGAAATTAGTCAATAATTTTAATTGCTGGCAGAAGAGTGAAGCTATTAGTGACTGAGCACAATGTACGTGACTACATACTACTTAATTTAGTGCTATGGACTAATTTGTTGATAATAAAGGGTGATACGTAGAGTTTGCTCCTCTATCTCATGTCTGTGAACCAAGCGAGGTGTACGTCACACGTTGCAACAAGTGCGGTGTGGCCTGTTGAACTTATTTGTCCGTTTGTAATGTTTGATATACCTTAAATGTTTCTCACAGTGCGATTTAGCTTTTTGTCCCCTTCGTATGAGTCGGAAAATACTACTAAACGTGCCTTGCAAGTTATAATGAAAGAGATATAGCATTTCTCCCCTCACTATCAATCGATAGGCACTGTGGTTGGTGACTCATTTATTAAATCACTAATTGCTACTGCAAAGTGTGTTCTGTTCGCAAATTCCCAAATCACCGCGCGTTATTGGCTCAAAAAGTGTTCGAGAGTGGGGAATCTTGTCAAAGACTTGTGTTGCGAAATACAAAATGCAAAGTGAACGTATATAAGTGCTTAGTTCGCAATGTCTTTCGCTACTCTTTTCCTACTTAATTTTTCTACTGTACATTTTTTAAACGCTAAATCGCGCATTACTTATCGTATAGTCATGCATTACAAATAGCCACAATGCTGAAAAGTTATCATCACGTCGCACAATACTAATCGTCGCAAAATTGCCGAGTCGCTTCCTCTACAAAATCCCGCTCGAATCGGCAGCGTCAGCAACTGTAATGTCAAGTTTGGTCTTTAGAGTGACAAACGGCAATAATCGCCTTTGTCATGATAAAATCGCCTTTGTCATAATATCTACGAGCATGTCTTGCGTCAAATAGTAGTATGGCACGACTTGATTTTTCTTGAACTTTTTACACACGAAGGGGAAGCGGATATCGATTTGCTTGGTGCCTTTTGACACCCCGGATTATTAGCCAACGCAATAGCACCTTTGTTGTATTCAAATATTTATTGTCTTCAAATGTAGTTAGAGCTTCGTTGCCTGCTTCTTAGCAGAGTTATTGCTTGAACGCCTTGAGCCACGCCTCTTTTTAGGTTGCTCCCAAGAGTGCGATGTACACTGCTTTCTTTAAAGAAGGTGCCACGGTGCGCTATTTGTTGCTGCACCAGCTGATCTAGCGGTCGTTAAGTACAAACACGCACCCGCTGGTGCTGTGTCTCGTCTCGATGTCGCCAGCCCATTATACGTCAGAATAGCCGACCAACTTACCATCAGCAGCACCGGTGAAAGAAATACCGAGTTTTCGAGTTGCTTATAGGTACCGAAGTTTGCGCATAGGTTATTGCCATTGTGTGATACAGGTCAGTAGAAAAGTGGCTGAGCATTACCACTGAAGCTGCTAGATCTGGAGTTGTGCCAACCATACGGTACATCACGGATCCGACAGCACTACAGTACGACACATCTTGCATGGAGTGCACACGCTCTCACTTCATTTGCACGTGTTCTTTGTTCACTCAAAATCGGGATCTCACGGTGTCTTACCGGGCTTGAAATCTTTCCTTTTGCAGTGGAGGTGTTACAAACGCCTTAGCATGTGTCGACATTAATAACACCGTCCTGCTGTATATGTGAATCAACACCTTTTGGTATCTAGGTGAGCGAGCATTTTGGCACTAAAACTTAACGTTCGATTCATCTTGCATCGCTTGACGAGCTTACCCCGTGTGGTCCACTAACAATTTGATATTGACGTCCACATGTTCGATTATAAGATCTTCAAGACTTACAGATATAAGTTTGACAATAGGTCTAGCATGCCGAGCTTGGTCAGATCGAGCAAAGGAATTTCGTTTGTTTCATCAAATTTTCTTTGCCTGACTTTTCGTCTTGATCGACTTTCACGCCGAGGCATTACTTGAGATCACCGCAAACTGACATCTCAAATCGTTTGATCAATGCACTCTCGGAGGCTACGAGAAAAAAATGTCCTTATACACAAGGATGCCGTCGTCAACGCAGAGAAGTACAAATATTACGACCTTGTTGTCACACTTAACTTGAACGTAGTAGTTTTTTTTCTCAAGAATCTTGTACATAAACTCGTACATAGTCTGATTCAACATGCGTGGCAAATACTTAAGTCCGTACAACACACGCTAAAGCTTGCACACATGGTGAAAAAAATCGACATGAACGAGTCTTTAGGGCTGCTTTGTGATGATCATAAATTCAATCAAACCGTTTTGAAAGGCCTTCTTGACATCCATCTGGCTCAGCGCAAGGTTGCGCTGCGCCACGATGATAAAAACGATCCATTTTGATGCGAGCTTGGCCACCGTAGCAATCGGCTCCTCGGAGTCCACACCAAAAGTTTGTTTAAAACATTTAGCTACAAGGCATGGGTTTGTACCGTAAATGAGACTGTCAGAATATTCCTAAACGTTAATACAGAACTTGCTACTGATCGCCGTGCGACCACTTAGCAATGGCACAGGTTCCCACGTATTGTTGTTGCAGAACAATTGAACCTTAGAATTGCTCACTTCTCGCCACTTGCTTGCGTTTTTAAATTCCATCGCCGATGCAAATTTCAATGGCACTTCTCTTACTAATTCATTGACTTGAGTACAGTCTTATTATTATTATTATTCTGTTTGATTGATCGACGCAAGTAGCGCCGACACGTCTTTAAGTGATGCCCCGCTATCCGGTACTGACGCTGAGATCGCTTGACTTGTACTTTTTACGCGACCAAAAAACCTCGTTGCTTGTTACTTTAAGTAGTTCCAGTAATTTTTAGTCGTTAAACAATTGATCAAAATTCGAGTGCGTTCGTAGATTGCACTTGGACCCTAACGAGTACATAATATTCTGATGCTTGAAAATTTGCGGCGGTCGACCGGTACGCTGCGTTTGCTGCCACTTTGACCGCTTATAATTCGAAATTGGCTCGATAGCGTGCTCTTCCATGAATTCGCTGTCGATCTCGAAGTGGTGAATGTTTAAACTTCATCTCTGTTTGTTTCATTAGTAATACTATACTCTAAAGTGTTACTGTCGATTGCATTTTGCGTACTTTCCGCTTTCGTAGACATTTCTTTAAGTGGGGGTGGCGACTCACTAGAATGTGATCGCTTGATAGCCTTTCACAAAGCCAATGAAGAAACGAATATTCGATCGAGCGTCAAGCTTCAACCTCTACTGTTCGTCACATGCACATATGCGTGGCGCCCAAATAGCTATAGAGCTTTTAGCAGAACTTGCTCCTAGTTTCACACCTAGAGCGTATTTATGTAATTACCAAATTCTTGCGCCGGGCAATGTATTGCGTAGGAATGCTCTGTTGACACTGTATTACCCAATTTCGTTTGAAAAGTTCATCGAACTCTATCAAGCATCGAGCACTCTCGGTTCATCAGTTCGGTCACTTTATTAAGTTGGGACGTGTAAGGTGCTGTGAGCTCCTATGCTATGCATTGGTTCGCAACAGAACGTGGGGAGAATTTTGTGCACGCACTCATTACCGTTGTCACTATGAAGCACCTCGATGCAAAGACTGGTTTGAGATTTGGCGCACTTAAAAATTGCATGAGATTTTCCCAGCACTTATGATTTGTCTTCGAATCATATATACCGCACCAAAAGTGACTTGCCGTTGATGAACGCCACAAAGTAGCGTTTTCCGGAAAATGCCGCAGACTGCATTTGTTCGCACACATCGGACTGCACGACGTCAAGCATGTGCTTGGCTGGCTGGCTAGATTGAACAAAATGAAATGCTTACCCCCGTTTGCTTTTTGGGATCATACTTACTTCAAAGCCTTCGCTTTCACACTGATGCAATGTATGTGACGATACCGAACTTATGCATCGCAATTGCGTTATGACCATCATGACGAAAGTGGCTACGACGTAAGTTCCACAGATATGAATTGATCGTCTATACATACGTATATTCACTTTAAGCACATGCGCTGTCCACTTGCACAGGTGGTATGGGTAGCTTAAAAAGAGATCTTTGCCAGAACGCTCGCCGTCTCCTACTTCTGGTTCTTGTGGTCCAAATGACAAGTGACTCTTTTAAAAAGTTACTGCAGTGTATCTATGGAAAATCTGTCGACCAAATATGCATTACGTGTTAGCTTGATGATTCGTCACACGTTCGTAAGCACCTCTACTATAGCTCTGCTTGGGATCTTCATTAACATCAGTATGTCGCCGCTCCCAATCACCTGCGATATGATCGGTATCCAGATCTATGGTTATGTGATTCTTCACGGACCGGATTGACAACAACATGTGCTCTGTCAACAGGAATCTGTGAGACATGCCGTATTCTGGACTCTATTGTAGCTTTCCTTTTCAACGGCTATGAAAAAACCATTCAAGTTTTCATCTTGGTTGTGCGCCACATTAGCACGCAGGTGCCGCTGCCTGTCTGCGTTGTCTTGGATCCTCAAGAACATTTCATGATCCAATAACCCATCTATCGCAGTAGTTGCACTCTCCAGCCTTTAATTATGGCCGTCCACTGCACTTCTTATCACCCGTAATGAATGCTTTACTTGCAGCGAACCCTTTGATGCCGTGCTCCTTGCGCTTTGTATCGACATTAAGGAGCCGAGACGTCGTGAGCGCTCACGATAGAAAGTTGCCACGTGAGTCCGGCGCTGTGATTAGGAACTGGCGCTACTAGCTTAAAAAATATCAAGAAACATGATTACTTAGTCATCCTCGCTAGCCGTATTGCCGACCGCATTGAGCTGCTCCGCAAGAGTCTTGATCTTATTGATGTGCCCCAGCACATCATCACCGTCATCCGCCATCCTCATGAAGAAGCGTCGACGAAAAAATAGATCGTTTATCAGACTCTTCTTCTCGTAGAGGCCTTCTAGTCGTGATCATGCATCGTACGCCCCGGTCGCTGAACGAACCCTCGGCAGCTGTAAATCTGGCAAAGAGAATCAGACGAGCGCCAACGCGCTTGCGCGACTTGCCCTTGAACGATGAATCGTCCAGGTAGTAAGATGTTTCAGCTTGATATCCCCGCTTGTCTCTTCTCAAAGGTAACGCTCCTCCAGTATTTACTACATTCTGAGTTTCCAAACCTAAAACTTTGTCTCAAAAACTTGTTGATGTAAGCGCCAATGATTGGGAAGCGACCATGTTGTAGGCGGAGTCGGCGTGGGGGGGGCAGAATCAAGAAAATTAAGGCCCACTTTTTAAAATAAACCGTCTGTATTACCTCCTTGGTAGGGGCGTGCAACATAAAATTTTCAAGGTTCCTGAAACCAATTTGATTATATGACGTACTCCCCTTACAGTGGTTAGTACTCCAAGCGGTATGCTTTGGGGCTTTCTAGTTATGCCCCAAAAGATTTCCTATGTTTCGGCTACGTTTAATCGTCTGGTGAAGCAATTGTTTCGCCCTCACCGTGCGTATGCACAAACACATTTTGATGACTTACTTGTTCATGATTGAATGGAACTGATTCGGTCATGACGTGGATAACCTCTTTTACCATTCACGAGATGTGCTCGAGTGCATGTGCACTGACAGGATCAATAAAATAGCATCGAATGTATCTTTGTTACGGATAAGATCCCATTTTGGGGATGCTCCAATGGGAAGCGAGGCCTTCGGGCAGATATTGCAAAGTTAAAGGCAATAGAGAATTGGACAATACCTACGTAGCAAAAGGACCTACGCAAACGGACCTACGCAAACGGCTTGGCCACGCCAAATACTTGCACAGGTATAGCGAGGATAACGCTATTACGGCTCAAATTTTATCGAATCTTTTTAAAAAAGGATGTGGACTGGTGCTGAACTAACAGTAAAGCAGAGGCTTTTAAGGCCGTGAATGAGACCCTCCTACATGTCCCGGTTTTGACTTTTCCTAAATTTAAATGGCCTTCTAGTGCCGCCTGCGATGGTTTGATGTCCTGTCAGCTTAAAACTGCAAAAAAAATCGTTTGGTTCACGATAGTGATCCACTTGCTACAAAGATTTTTTTTTTAAAATCCAGATGTATCTTCTTGGTCCTAAGACTTTTATTGTTTATACCAATCACGCGTCCTTACTCACGGCGACCCAATCGCGTCACCTCTTACCGATAATTATTCGTTATATTTTATTCCCTGCAGAATATTTCTTCGAGGTGAAGTACAGGCTGGGAAAGCAAAATACGCTGGCTGATACGCTGTCACGACGGCCCGACAACGAGCTTGCTCATGTTACGATTTTTCGTCGTCAATAAATAACATAATGCGTGCATTCTATGCCAAATATTCACAATTTATAGCTTTTCTACGTGCTTTCGAAAGAGATGCGTCAAAAAAAATTGCGCATTAAATTGTTGGCACGTTGGTGTGCGAGAACTCATCCATAATCTATCGATAACGGCTTGTTGTGCCATCGCACGGATTCCGCGGATACCCTGAGTACTATTGTTCCGCATGATGAGAGATTGCATTATTACGTGCTCTATAGGTGCACGACGCAGCTATTAGCGGTCATCTCGGTCGTGAGAATACCTACGGCTTAGTAATCCAGAATTGCTGGTGGCTTAAACTTTATAAATTGGTAAGCACTTATGTGTGCACATGTCAGACGTGCCAACAAGTCAAACCACCATAACGGGTTAACTGCGCTGCTGGCTAGTTAGCGTATACTTTCCAAGTACGTGGACTCCATCAGCATGGACTTTGTGTTTAGCCTATTAAAGAATCTTGATAGAAACACAGAAATTGTGTCATTTGCCAAGCGTTTAAGCAAAGTGGATTACATAGCGGCTGTGCCGGAATCAATTGATGGTGAAGGTACATCTTTGCCGTCTATTGATCGCGTGATTCGCCAATGAGGGCTACTTTTGGCAATTTTTTGGTCGTTGTTCTCGCTTTACTGGCAAATTCAGGAAGCCCATCTTTGAGGTGATCGGCACCGATTAGGCAGGTCTAAAGCAAATCATCCGCTAAATGATGGTCAGAATGAGCGTGTCGATTGCGTCCTCGGTGAAGGCTCACGCAGCGTGTGCGCTGAGACGTCTCAATTTTAGAGATCTATGCTCCACATTGTTGAGCTCGCTAAGAACAATGCCGTCCGTGTCTAGACTAGACATGATCTGCTCTATGTGACGACCTCTCCCATGCCCTACTTCCGTTATCGCTACCACTACAAGGCTCAGGGCTTGGTTGGGGAGAGAAAGATGATCGGCTTGCTGATTTTAGCCCTTGTACTGCTCGAAAACAGGTTAGTGCATTTCTAGAAGCACGATTGGATGTCTTACGACATGTGCATGACACAATGGTCAATTGTAAAGAAAAAAAGGAGGAACAACCTGCTAAAGGCATAAACTTTACTGAAAGTTATAAGGTATTTTACTTAGTCGTAATAAACACAAAGAACCTCCCTAAAAACGTATTATATACTGTGTTAAATGCTAAGCTGCGTCCTCGCTTCGTTGGACTATTTACGGTCATGACTAAAAATGCCTTGCACATACGCCCATAAATACGGCAAATATAGCGTACACACCCCTTGTTTCTTCGTAAGGCTCCTTAATCAGCATCTTGATTCGTTTCAGGTTAATGTAGACGCACATGCGCCAAGAAAGTTGTCTTTTATACAGGATGCTGTGTCCGAATCAGAAGGTCAGATTGCAACTCCATTCGTGTCTGAATTGTTTCAATAGCCGACAAGCAAGCTTGCACTGCGTCACGCGTGCGCTTGGTCTAACCCAAAGTCTAGCGAAGACTTTTCACCTCGTGAACTAAAGTCTCATGGGCGGCAGCCGGCACACCCAACGCCATCGGCGTTGCTTGACCAGCAAGGGAACCTCCAGCCTTATGAGGAGAATGTACTTTAACAACGTCGTCTTCGTGGCCAAACCAGTAACTAGTGAAGTGGCGGGTATGCTCTGAGTCTGAAAACTCACGGGAGTACTAGATTTTCCTCTGGAATGATTGCTTATGTGCCGTGAATGATTTTGAGCACCACGGCCAAGGTCAACTTGCGACCCCGCACGCTTATCACCCGTAATGGAAGTAGCAGGCGGGTCCACAACCAAAGACGGATGTGATATCGCAATTATCGGCAACGCCGCAGCGTATCGGATGTGGAACATCGCCCGCAAATTTCCTTTGGCCTTCTATTCGGCGAAGTCTTCATTTTTTTCAAGACGTACGTCAGTATGGTTGGCATTTACTCACATGCATTATTGCTTCTTAAGCGCCGTACCTTATGCACCCAGCGTACAAGCGCATTGTCTTCTTATAGACCAACGCTAGTACGTCTAGGTGTACAAGGATACCTTTAATCGGTGGAACTTGTCTACCATGACCTTAATCTAAAAAGTGCCTTGTATTTACTTGTAGCCATAACCTGCAGCAACAGGTATCGCTCACGCAATACCCTGCCTGTTTCAAACCAATTAAGATGTATTGGCTGCCGGACCGATGTTATACGATGCCATAGACATAACATCAGTCTGTTGGAGAAGTGTCTCCGCACTGAGAGGCGTAAACACATAGCCGGTTTGAATTTCTAGTGTCGCCGTGATATGAAAGATGTGCTGAGCGCTCTTTCGTTATTTTTATGCACCTGCAAGTGCTCCTTGTCGAGTGACTTCGTGATGATTTCGACCCTAAACCGAGTGTCGTGTGCAACGCTGTTAACGCATCTGCAGCCCTAAGTTTATGGAACGGGTTAGGTTTCTGTCTCGATAAGTCGCCTCGGACGGGTGTGCTAACTTTAGACTCGAAGTCGCTAAAATAGTCTAGTCCCTCCCCTCGATTCTGAGGAGGTCGAAAAAGGCCGAAGTCTCGTTTTGTGTTGCTACGTCTGATGCGTCAAATCAATCGTGAGGTTACTGTTCGCCAATGGACTCGATGAGGTAACGATTCGATTGACGTTTTTTAGTGACGTCAGTCTGGTGAGGTAGGGTGTAACGGGTCACACTACAATTACCGCCATAACGGGATGTAACTGGTACATGTGATAGAAAAGCGCAAGTTTATCTGTAATAATCGATACGGCTGATAACTTCGTCTTCCATTGATGACAGATTGATGTGCCATCCATCAATCTTAAATATACCGAAAATTATTATACAAACTAGTTCAATCTTTGCATTAGGTAGTACGATGAGATTTATTACAGATAACACTTAGAAATGAAAGCTTAGCTCCCTTTTGATCTTCGATTGGCACGTGTCTAGTTTAGACGTCGGTAGATTGTTGAAAGTAAGATCCAGCTTGTAATGCATATTCTAGATAACATTGTGGGTACGATTATTAGAGTCTTTGTTCGTCCCCAGAACCAGAACTAGAAGCTCTACGAGCTTTAAATCTCTCTGAGTCTTTGTTGATTACTGCTAAGAACTAAAGGCTCTTTACACTAACAGGAACTTACTTCCGAAGGGTCAGTGACTTCTAGAGTCGTAATTATACCTCTGACTAAGAGCTGCGTATCTACACTACAATGAATTAGAACGTGCGGAAGGCCATCGGTGCCAGCACAGCGGCTATCATATGACACCAAGCGCGGAGCGCGTATTGCGGTTGAATGAGCTCTGTTCCTGTTGCACTGCGGTGTTTTACATGCTGCAAGATAAGGAGGTCGATCGGCGCTTCGTCGTTTTTTCTGTGTCAAGCAAAAGTTGACGTAGGACGCAATAAGGAACAGAAGAAGAGGAAAAACGTAAATAGACAGTAATGGATCTCCCTTATTTAATATGGCTGGGACCGCCAAATTTTAAATTAACTAAGGGAACTATTTATAGCAGAGCTAGAATTTATAGGGTTTAAGCGAAGGGTGTTGTACGTGTTAGCA